AGGAAGGATGAAGCAGTGTGTCAACAAATCAGCGAACAGTACTTTCAGCCATGGCTTTTCAGCGAAGCGAACAAGGAAATGTGGTGGTTGATTCTTCTTCACCGCCACTGGACACTGGTGTAGTGGTGTGTTTGCCTGGACTTCGTACAGCGCATGCATGCCTGGCTATTCGGCTAGTTTGGAAGACCTATGGCATGTTGCTTTCTGGTTTTATTTCTAAAATATATGTAAGTTATTTAAGTACTCCTATAGTTTCACATTATAAGGCGTTTTGGCTTTTCTAGATACGTTACTTTTGCTATGCATTTAGATATATACATTATGTCTAGATACATAGTAAAAACAATGCATTTAGAAAAGCCAAAACATCTTATAATCTAGATTTTAGAATGGAGGGAGTAGAACACTACGTGCGTGCAATACGGAATTGCTGTCATTAGGGATACAATATCGGTGTTGGTGAACATCCTCATCAAACTCATGGCCGTGGAGTCTCTTGTCTTTGCCCCCTTCTTTGCCGCCCATGGAGGCATCCTCTTCAAATGGCATTAGAAGAAGAGTGGAAGATTGATGATACTTTAATTTCGCCGAGGAGAGCACTAGATATCTATGTCATAGAGAAATTTCAGTTTACCCATATGGTGTATTTCTTCCTTTTTGTTTCGCTTGTACTGTGTTGCAGTAATGTTGAACTTGTCAGCCATGTATATCACATAGTTTTCGGGTCTAGTTGCAGTAAGTGGAGCAATTGTCTAGCATTCTACAGGATTGGAATCGACGGTTTTGGACTTTGCGGGTAGCTGATCGATGTAGGCATTTTTCACAGTGGAGGAGCCAAATTCCAAAAGGCATGGGTCTTATTCTGTATGACGTGATAGGATTGAATAATTGCCAATGGCAGGTGAGAAGTTCTTGTACTTTCCTCTTGTGCATAGTGCACAGCACGATAGACCGATGAGACGACGAGTGTTGTTACCTCCCTTCCTGTCATCGTCTGTGTTCACCAAAGTCCAGTTCCGGTCGGTATCCCCCCTGACATCAATGCAATGCCTCCATCGAAACTATAGTACGTTAAGGGGGGCGGGGGGGACTGGACAAGTAGTACAGGTAGACTGTTAAATATAGTAAAAGTGTTTGTGTCTTACTCAAACGGATGTAGATACTATGCATGTAAAAAAAACGGATGTAGACATGAATGAATTACTTTCAATTCGTAATGGGTCAGTCAACTCCGCGTCCGTCGATTAATCCCCACAACAGTATTTCACTACACGAAATGCCAATGAATTGGCCGGTGGGACAGTAGTCTAAAGTAGTAGTTAGATGCAAGCGACTTCAGAGATAATCAATGTAATAAAAAAAAGTGGGATAGAAATTTTCAGCAAGGCTGCAGAATCATCCATTCGGGTTCTCTTCTCCACCTTAGCACATTATTCCACAAAAATGGTATATGTACTTAGGGTTTATTTGGATTACAACTGGATTTTTAAAATCTGGGTTTTAAACTGTAATAATTAGAGTGCTTGTATTCCTGAATTATTATGATGATTTACTCTTAGTTGCAGCTGGGAGTGAGGGCCTTTGGCCTGCAGAGGCACGATTTTCGAGACACCGCTTGGTGTTTTGAGCCATGGAATCACTCTCTCTTTCACCGGGAGCCGAGCTCCCCCTTTAACATGGTGCAGTTACAATATTTTGGGAGTACAAGAATGCCCCTGTACCAGCTAAGACATATTCCAGTATATTCTACCTCTTGGTGTACAACCTCCTGGCACCCTTGCGCCTTTTTCGTCTCCAACTGTCTTTGTCGATGGGCCTTTGTCGAGCCGGTTCCTCGGCCCAAAAATAGGTCCCCTATTTGGCGCTGCTGCTGCCCGCCGCCAGCGACGCCTTTCCTTCGTCACAATTAGACGCCCTGCCTTCAAGATGACCTAGCGCCGCCCTTGCCACTCGAAGGCTCTATTGGCCGTTTTGCCGACGATCTAAGTCATTAGAGAATCTTCAGGAGTTTTGTAAAACAACTCTCTATTTTTATATTTTAGCAAAAACCTTAATAATAAAAAGTTGCCAAATATCCTCACCAACTCATAAGTTTTTGCAGTCGTGAGGAATTCCGTATTCGCTCCCCCTCCGGCCTTTTTCTTAGGAGATCGGAATAAATTGGATGCATTAGTAAATTAAGAAAATAAAGGATTCCAGATGACAAACTTGTAAGAGACAAAGAAACTATTAAAAAAGACTTGGTTGGTTAGAAATAATTTGGGGTTCTCAATGCAAAAATCGGTTAGAAGCTATTACAGACTGATGGAGAAAGACAAACACTACCGGGAAATGGAATATATCCTTAGGGCCAACAATCTCCTTGAGGGGTGAAATTGAACCTATAAGGATATATCATTACCTTGGGGTCGTATGAAAACCTCCAAGGAAATGCATATTCTTGATGTTCTAACCCAAACCGCTAAGGTAATTCCATGTTTTGTTGTGTGTTCATGTGTAATACCAAGGTAATTCCATGATTCCTTGAGGGTTACTACAAACTGCCAATATATTTCCTCATTTCCTTGGGTGTTGTACAAAACCGCCAAGGTAGTTCATATTTCCTTGAGTGTTATTACAAACCGCCAAGGTAATTCATATTTCCTTGAGTGTAACCAGAGACCTCCAAGGAAGTGCTAGTTTCCTTGGGTGCAAACCCGCAAATAAATTATTGTAGCCGCCAAGGAATAAATTTAGTTTATAGTCGTTTGTCTTGACCACCGATATAATAGACTCATTGAATTCTTATTAGTTAGACATTGCATTTTATGGACATAAATGCTCCATTGACATGTTTATGAAATGAAATACAATTTTCTTGGTACATTAATCAAACACTAGTATATTGCTCGTGCTAACGCTTCTGACGACAAACCATATTGACATCTTAGAAGAAAGCAGCATACCATGTAAATAATAATATAGTCTCAATTTAGTTCCTAAAATATTTCCAAAACAGCACAAAAAAATATTGATACAATTAGGATCCGATGCAGCATAGTATTTGTCCACATAATGGATGAGTAATCAGCCACTTTCCATATCTTGAATCCTAATATCATGTTTTATGCTTAATGCAAGCCGAAAGAAGAATTTTATCTACAGTTACAGTGTTACCGTAAGGACCAAATGGCCAGGACCATTGTTGTGTGAAATGATTCGGCACTTTTGGCCATGGATGCTCGCGATCAGCCAGCAGTCTACAATCAGGCAACAGAAAAGACTGCCTGAATTGCTTGGTTCAATTGCTCAAATCAAATCTGCACCACAGATTTTGATATATCCCACTCCGCACCCTCCAAGAGGGCAAACCTAAGCTAACCTGCACACATATCAAAAAACTATAGGAGGACGCGTGCGTCATGGAGGAGTCCGGTAGCCGCTGCCGAGTCCGCGATTCGTGATATGCTCCTTCCTCCTCTGCCCTGAGGTGGAAAATTAGTTTAATCAACTCACTCCCTAGCATATTGAGGCTTATATATATATATATATATATATATATATATATATATATATATATATATATATATAAAAGATCGAGAGCAAATCAGGGCAGGCCAATGTCATCTCATCTCCAATCTCAATCTAAATAATTCACAGCTACTTACATGTTGCCATGTTGGACTTTCAAAGGAAATGCGGTATAGTTGCATTACAAAGCTACAGTATTAGATGGCAAACATTGAAGCAGTCCAGAAAAAGAGCCTTTACGTTGTTGGATTTCAGACCAACGAAGTGTTCTAAACCTGCTATCTCATTTAGAAATTCCGATTTAGATGCCGAGACACAAAAATACATAACTGGCAATCTTGGGGACGAATGAAGGCACCCACGCAGCCGACACACTGCTCGTAAATTTTAGCAGGCTGCCACCAACAATCAAGGTTCTTGTGTGAAATTTCACCCTAAATTGTTAGTATGAGAACCATGAAAAGATATCCACCATTTGTCGGTATAAGCAGTTCAGAACAGAGGTTGTATGTAACAGGTTAGTTCAGGCATTCATGAGAAACGGTGATGGGGATTCGTATGTGATCAGACCAGTGTTTTTTATTATCATCCAAGATTTGCATGCAGTACGGTCACTAAACAATTAGCACAAAGACAAAACTATAATGCTGCAAATCTTCAGGATTCTTACTAAGCAAACATACAATTGGACACAATGTCATTTTTTTTAAATCTAACTAGTGGAAAGTTTGCAAAGGTGAGTGATAATACATGTAGAATTTGTCAGACCATGATACATTATAATATAGAACAAGAGGAAAGTTTACAAGCTCAGAACTATATATGAATCCTGCTGCACAGATATTGTATCGATCAAATTCGACAAAAGGAGCTATGTGATGCATGAAGTAATTAAGGATCCCAATGGCTAATACTTAATTGGCTTGTTTTGAATCATTCAGAAATTCCTACAGCTACCGTTGCTTCATACTACAAACTGTGCTCAGAGGGTAAACAACACCACGAAAAAGGGGAGAAAAAGAACAGAAGAGAGGAGCAGGGCAAACATTGTTCCAAATCTGGACGTCATGGATGGCCTCTCAATATCCAATAATTTTGCACCACATCCTCTGGGTCAACTAATCTGCACACACGACATGAAAAATGAACTAATTACTTGCAAGATCAAAGCAAAACAGTACTGCATTTCCTATATGGATGAAACAATGGAGGAAGCAAGACCCAATATTCCAGACATAATATCAAGTGCTAGATTCTAGAGTTGCAGAAATTGCTAAAATTTATAGTTTCATGTACAGCTAGAATCTCTGTACGGGTAAGTGTATTCAATCACAGGCATTGCATCAGACACCATGAGGGCAGCAACTTAAGAACAACCGTTGTATTGAGATGTTATTACCAGACGAACATGGCCTAATAACACAGCAACTGAAAACACTAATTACATCTACTACATCTAGCGTGCAAGAAAAAGCAAAATAAGGTTGGCGATGTCGTACATCTTCTTGTGCCCCAGCGCCATGAGTAGGCGGTCGGCGACAAACTCGATGTACTGGCTCATGAGCCAGCCGTTCATTCCAACCAGTGCGACGGGGAGCGCGTCACAGACGAACTCGCGCTCGATGTCGACGGCGTCGTTGACGATCTCGCGGACGCGAGACTTATCGAGCTTGCCGCGGCGGCCGCCGGCTGGCTCTCAACAGATGGAGCCTGGCCCGGCGCTCGGCCTCCCTCGCTCGGCCATGCGCCCACAGGTGGCGCCCGGCCATCTCCCTGTGGCAGCGGTTGGAGGCCCCGCGTTGGGCGACTCCCATGGCGGCGGCGGCCCTTCCCACCGGCGACGGCGGCTCCGTGGTGCTGGGCGGTTAGGGTTGGAACCCTAATCCCTGGTGCTGGGTGTGGGGGAGAGGAGTCGGCAAGGTGGGATGAGGTTCGGCACTCGTTCGAGCGAAAAAAAATACGAAAAAAGCAACCGAGGGAGCGAGGGATCGAACCTCGGCTGCGGGGCACCGGCGGGGGATCTGGGCGCCCGAATTTTTTATATTTTAGCTCTTTTTTTGAAACATTTTCATAAATATGCCCCTGGAGAAAAGATTTTAAAATCTGGACCCTTAGCTTGGCGCCATCGTTGCTGGCGCCGAGCTCTTGGGCTCGAAGCGGACGTGGCGGTGTCATGGCAGGCAGCTCGGCGCCAGGGTTACTGGCACCGAGCTCGGCGTCGTAGATCTTGGCGCCGAGCCTTTCTTATGTATGGGCCCCAATCCTTTCTCTCTTCCTCTCCCTCTCTCTCTCGCATCTCCCTCGTCCGAGCAGAGCACCGTCGTCGCCGCCCGCGCCCTCTCCCTTCACCGGCCCCGAGCCTGGCTCGCCTTTCGCCCAAGACGTGCCTCGCCGCGCCGCCCGTGCCAGACTCTCGCTGCGCGCCGCCACCACGCCGCCCGCCCATGCCCCGAGGTCACAGAAGACCGCCATGGCCGGGCCGGACGCCGACGCGCCACCATCATGGCGGTCGCGCGCCGCTGCGCGCCCGCGCGCCCGCTTCTGGTCCCTCACGGCCCTCGCGCCTGCCGGACCTCGACTCGCCCGCCCGACGTAACGCTTCATGGCCGCTTTGGTTGCCCCGGCCAGGCGATGCGGTGCGTGCGGTGGACTGTCGCCGTCGCCGCCTCGCTTTTTGCGTTACCACGCGCGACGCCGAGCTGAGCTGCCTGGAGCCCAGTGCCAGTATCCAGCGCATCGTGCCGCCACCACCGCCGTCGTGGTCAAGCGCTTCCACTAACTCCTAAGACTGCAGCTGGCAGCAAATATGCCATGCCACTGCCGGGCTCTCATTTACCGACTTGACACGCTGGCGTCATTGCGACTCCGTCGTCGGACAGGTAAAAATTGTGAATTTACAATGTGCGTACTTAGTTAACTTTGATTGTAGTGTAGTAGTTTGGGCATTTGTTATTTACTAGTTAATGTGATGACTCAGGTAGTTGATTTAGTTAGTGATCTAATGAGATATATATGTAAATAGATAGAAACATAGATACATAGGTACATAGATATAGTTAGATAGCTACTTAGATAGGTAGTTACATATTTAGTTAACTAAATTGGATCTAGCTATTTAGTTAGTACATTGTATCTATGTATGTAGTTGTTATCTTATTTACTTAGTTTGTAGTTAGAAAGTACTTGTTAGGTACTATCTATCGTCTAATTTGGATTAAAGGATATGTGTTTTGTTATGTGTTTGAACTAGATGGACAACCTAGTGACCATATATCATGGAGGCACCGTTGAATACGATCGCTATAGATATGTTGAGTTTGTTGACATGCAAAGCGTGCATGTGCTATTCAATGATAGGCCTTCATTTAGTGAGATGGTTGCAAGGGCTCGGCCACAAGGGTAAGGGTAAGACTAGGAGGTAGTGAGGGTTGTGGTAGATGTTAGTATGCACTATTATGGATTTTGTATTTACTTTCCTGTAACTATTTGGCACTGTATGGACATTGTGGACTATTTGGACAGTGCAGGACATGTTATGTTGATTGTGATATTCGTTGGGGTTGCATTATGCTCTTTGGATGATTAAATGTTTGGATTATATAATGATGTCTCTGTTTGTAGCTGTGGATGCTCCTGAAACAAGGGAAACTCTTACGATTTTTTTCTGTGAATCATTAATCATACTACACTGCTAAAAAGGCACAAATGTAGTACACAGATTAAATGTAAATTTATTAGAACGTGTATAGTTCAATCGTATCGTACAGACGCTTTGTAAATGAATCTAGGCTTATCAAGTAACAGTGAACGAATCTAGGCTTTTCAGACAATGAAAATAGACTTTTCAGTTACAAGGACAACAACGATTTATCACTTCACTGACATAGTACTGGCATGCAAGGAAGCACAACTCCACTCCATCTCCACCATCCATCTTATGACTGTTTGATCCAAGGGCTGAGGTGTAACACCCTCGATGTTACATTGTACTATTTTTGCTAAAACATTGCTTGAGCATCATACTTGTATGTGGATGTGTGTAATATAGGGTATAAAGAAATGTACATAACTTGAAACGTTCGTCGGCAACACGAAACAAATGCTACATTTCATGTCACTTTATATCGTTTAGGGTTCTAAGTGAATTTTTATTGAACAAAAATGCAATAGAACGCTTAGGCGAGACTTTGATAAAGTTCATAGTACTAACTTCGTAGGTGACGGTGAAATACTCGTGATTGGGAACGAGAGTCACTAGCTGGCTTAGTGGGTAGCTTGGAAATCGAAAGTAACGCGAATCCAAACGAATGACTTAGTCATTTCTTAAGTCAGAGAGGGTGTCGACGAGGCAAAGTTCGGTCATTTTTAGAGCAGGATCGGGTTAAGTAATGGCAAGGTGTTTTAGCTTAGTTTGATAGCCCTATATACCCTCTGGAGCATAGAACCACGGGTTTGGCTTTTGGGTCACCGGGTTTGAGTTTTTGGCTGCTTTAAGAAGCGTGCAAGTCACTGTCCCGGACGATCTCAGGGTCTGAGCGCGATCACCGCGCCGGCGCTCGTCGTCGCCGCGTCTGCTGCCCAGCGAGCGCGCCATGCATAGGCCGCCGCTCTGGCTGTCCCTGCCTCTGGCACCGCCCTACTGACCACACTACATTGCTGCCCTGGCACGCCGCGCAAGCTCTCGCTCGCGCACAACCGTGCGGGCCCGCACCGCCGTGCCGCGCACAGTCTGCTCGGCTCGCCGTCGCGTCGAACTATGCCCTGGCCGTGCTGCGTACCGAGCACCGCCTGCACGGCCACTGCTGCCATTGACCTTTCGTAGCGGCACGCGCGTAGGCCCACCGCTTGCCCTCGCCATCGCATCCGAGCGCGCTGCGTCGCCCTGCTATCGCCTGCGCGGCCACTATTGTCGTTGATGCCTCGAGGCTGCACGCGCGTGGGACGGCTGCCTCATTGCGCCATCACGTCAGTGTCCACTGCCACACTACACAGTTGTCTTCCCTGACTGCCATCCTCTGTGGCGCTCAGCGCCGAGATAGCTGTGCCTAATTTCCCTGTTGCCCAGTCGCCATGCCGCCGTGACTGCCCCTCCGATTTCGCCATAGTGAAGCCACTACAGTGCAATTAACTCCGCCCTCGGCTCCGCTGTGTAGCCAGCCACACGACCGACCCCACCTCACTGCTTGCACCGCCGCACAGTGCCCTAATTTGGAGTTGTCGCTCCACCGGGTCCTTAAGACCGGGGTGCCATGTGCCGTCGGCAAGCCACGTACCCAAAGCATCTCACGGCAATTCCTTGCGCTGATAGCCTCGTCTCCACCTGCTGAGCACCCTGCGCAGCTCGGCCAAAGCGCTACCATAGCCTAGCTTTCCCTAATGTGGCCGTGCCATCACCGTGGGCCGTCGCACCACCCGTATGCACGCGGCCAGCTCGGCTCGGGCCATCTCTGAATGAATCACTACCTCGAGGAGTTCCGTGGTGAGTCACTAGAGCTCACTAGCTACCCCTTTTGCTCTGACTTCGCTGACATTCACCAGAATGCCACCGCCCTGACTGCAGGATCTCTGCCACCGTGGTCAGACCGCGCTGCTACGTCTCGGCTCATGTTTTCTTCGCCCGGCACTTCGCGTTCACTCCTAGGTAAGGGTCGGCTCGGTAGTCAGGGAGGGGAAGGTCTGCTGTGGCCGGCGTATGCCACCGGTGCCAGTGCTGCCGCGCCGAAGCGCGCGCGCGGGTGTCGGGGGTGTAGCTGTTGTGAAGGTAGGATTTTTCGAGGGCGTAGCTGTAAATTAATAGACTAGCGGAACAGAGCGTTTAGCGCTCGCGGGAATACTGAGTAGTCCGAGGGTGTTTTTGCTTATTGCCCGGCGCGCGCGGATCCTTCCCGCCGCGGGCCGTCGTCCGGCTGGGCCGCGCCCCCGCGTGGGCCGCGCTGCACGTGCACGCGCGTCGCGCCGTTTTGGGCCGAGCCGAAGCACGTGGGCCGCGCGATAGAATTACGTTTTCCAATTTCCAGTAAAATAGAAAGTGTTTATTCAATGAAGTTTTTAGCTGAACTTTGATAACTTGTGGTAAATTGTGTAGTTGTCCAAAAATAGTGAAATAAAGTTGTTAGGTTCACAAAAATGCCATCTACCTGCTAGTGTAGTTAGGTTACAGTTAGTTGTGTCAATGGTAGGTTCATAAATTCAAACTAGATGGCTTAGTATTATGTAGATTAATAATTGTAGGAATTTTTTTGGTAAATTGGTGTTAGCTATAGCTATGAAAATTTTATAGTAGGCTCACTAGATTATTATGTACTTGCTGTAAATTTTGTAGCCCTAGAGTAGGTTGATAAATAGAGTTGCTATTATCCTTGCTTTATCATATATAGCGTAAATCCGCATTAGGAGTAAGAATACCTGTAGTTGCTATAATGACATATGTCATGCTTCATACTTGTTAGTGGTAACAGTAGGTAGCTTAGCCCTTTAGTTGGTAGAACTCACTTAGTAGTTTAATAGATGTATTCTTATTTTAAGAGTTGCTGTTGTCGAAATACTAAGTGTCGCATTATCATTTCATGCATATAGATCATGAATTAGTAGAGTTCGTGCCCGTTGACGAACAGGAGTATGAAGAAGTCATTGAGGAGTACGAGGAGGAGATCCTCATGTAGGAGGGAGCCCCGGAGCCTTTTGGAGCTGACTTTGCTGACCCGTCGCCTGGCCAAGGCAAGCCACGGTGCATAACCCTTATTTTAAATGATCACTGAATATATATCTATGATGTGCATTTACGTTACAGGCATTTTATGAAAACTACATGCATAAATATATCTACCTATGAGTCCTACTAGTACAGGTCGAGTAGCTGCTATGCTCAGGATATCGGTAGCGT